AGCATGGCCGCCGTGGCCGAGATGCGGCAGCGCATCGCCGAGCTGGAGATCCAGGTGAGCGCGGGGACGCGGGGGACACAGGGGACATGGGGGACAGGGACGGGGGGACACAGGGGACATGGGGGACATGGGGACAGGGACGTGGGGGACATGGGGACAGGGACACAGGGACATGAGGGACATGGACGTGGGGGACACAGGGACATGGGGGACACAGGGACATGGGGGACATGGGGGACAAGGACGCAGGGGTTGTGGGGACATGGGAGACAGGGACGCGGGGACATGGACGTGGTGGACACAGATGCAGGGATGCGGGGACACGGACTCAGGGGACACAGGGACAGGGACACGGGGGATACAGGGGACACGGGGCCAGGGCGCGCGGGCCGGCCGCCGCGGCTCTCACGCTGGCCCCGCAGCGCGAGGAGGGCATGATCCAGGGCCAGCTCAACAACTCGGACGCGTCGCAGTACATCCGCGAGCTCAAGGACCACATCGACGAGCTCAAGGCCGAGGTAGGGCCCTCCCAGCACCCATGGGTGCCCGCAGGCTCCCTGCGGCACCCATGGGCGCCCACAGTTGCCTTTGAGCACCCACAGATCCCTCTGAGCTCCTGTGGGCGCCCACGGGTGCTCTGGGACACCCATGAGCATCTCCCGGCACCCCTGGGCGCCCACAGATACCCATGGGCACCCTAGGGCTGCTCCGGACACCCCTGGGGACGCACAGGCCACTTTTGGGGACACAGTGGGAGCAGTGCCCAGGGTCCCTAAGCCCTGGCAGAGCCGGTCCCCGCTGTCCCCAAAGGGGACCGTGCGGTGGGTGGGCACCATCAGCAGCGGTTCCTCCTGCCAGGTTGTCCCCATGGCCCATCCTGTGTCCCCACATCCCTGTCCCCATGTCTCCCTTGTCCGCATGTTGTCCTTGTCCCATGTCCCTGTCCCCTACCCCTGGCTCCTGCCCCTCATCTGTGCCATGTCCCCTGCCCACCATCCTACATCCCTGTCCCACATGCCCTGTGTCCCACCACGCATCCCGTGTCCCCCTCACTGCAATGTCACCCCCTGATCCCCACGTCCCTGTCCCATGCCCGATACGGCCCGTGCTCCTGGCCCTGTCCCCTACCCCCGTCTCCCCGTCCCCGCGCTGCCCCTCGTCCCCGCGCGTGTCCCCGCAGATCCGGCTGCTCAAGGGCCCCAAGGCCTTCGGGGAGGCCCTGGGCTTCGCCAGA